CCAAGAAATGAAAATTAGGAAGGCCCTGATTAGCGACCCAATCATAAACTTTCTTTTAACATATAAAAAGGTATGAATACATGGCTACATATATGTACATATACATACACGCTTTATATACACACTGTACATAATATATTACACAGAGCTAGTTATGAACACATTCAAACACACATACATACAACTATGTACATATGCATTAGCTACACGAATGAGCTCTATTACTAAACATGCAGAAATATACAATGGTAGAAGGCACAAAGAAATATTTAAAAAAACTATATTAAAAAAAAGATGGGGGAGGAAAAGCATGAATTTAAAGATCATAGTAATCCATTTTCAAAGCCCTCACATAACCCAAATAATAAGTTAGACATTGGGAAATATGGAACAGTGTGATATACCGATATGGATATTTTTCATGATAAATACAGTACAGATTTCACAATAAACAAAGAGCCCTACAATAAGGAAATTATAGGCGATAGTGCTTTCCAATTCCAATATATTTGACTTTTGAAACATTTTGTATGTGTATTTCATTTTAACTTCAATCTTCATTACAGCTAACATTTTAAATGTTTACAAAATAATTTCACATTTAATACTGATAACCATTAAGGTGGGTTTATATCACACAGGCTAAAAAGGGGACTAGGGCACCCTTAGTAAAAAAATAAGCATAGCCTTATTTCTAAAGGGCTTGACAGTCCTATAAAAGACACTTTTCAATTGACACAGCAACTTCAGAATTAAAGGGGGAATGTCAAACACATTTTAAAAATAGTTTTTGATTTTTCACTCCTCACTCTTTATAAGGCCCTCTTGCAAATTTGAAAGTAACGTTTCTATTATTACTCAATTTATCTTTCTGTATCTGGTAACTCTGACCTTCCCCCTCCTGTTTTGTATTAAGTAGAAGCCAACATAGCTTCTTTTGCTGGCTCTATCTGTGTACAAAGATGTATTGTGACCGCAGATGTTCTCTGCTACTATCATAGAAAGTCTATGCTTACACAGGGAGCCAACCGTGATAGCTGCAGTGCTGCTGCTATCAGGCGGGTCTGGTGCACTCCTGGAACTAAATTCTGAGATGTACCTGAGGCTACTTGTTGCTTTTCTTTCCATCTCTCTGCTTTTTCAGGGGTAAGAGAGGAGGAAGGAAAAACAAACCCACACACCTTATTTTTTATTTTCCAGATAAGGACTGAAAGAGAAAAGAGAAATGTCAAATCAAATTAAGGAAAATAAAACAAAATTAAAAAGAAAATCCTTTGCCAAAGGGAGATTTGAACCTGCAAGTACTTGCATTTAAGCCTTGGGGCAGTATTGTTATGGCATGTATTTAGCTGTCTCCCTGTGTATGTGCAGACATCCCACAATACCAGCAGTGAGCAGCTGATGCCATGATTGGAACTATGATATCTGTTAATTTCTTGTTTATGTCAGTGGTGCCTCAAATGTAATTGAGAATGGCAGTGATGTCAGCACAGTTCTGAGAATCTAGTGTGTTAAAATTGTCAGAGAATAACAGAGTTCTCCGACAAAAGGTTTGCTTGAAGTGTGTGTGTACACATACCAATGCTAACTCCTGAATTGTCTGCTATGGATTGGGTGCCCCATCCCTTTTGCTACTGCAGAAGGGCTTTCCTGATCTCCACTTGCTATAGGTGACTCTTTAGCTGGACAGCCCCCCACTCTTCCTGGCTGAAATCCATTCACAGGGGCATTGTCAGTTAGTTCTTTAAACTAGGTAGTGCTTTTAAAATTCTTCCCTGATTAAAAATGTCAGTCAGTCAGGGAAAGATCCTAATTACCACTCCTTCCCATATAGAGGTTGAAGTGGGAGAATATTCTGAAAATGTTCAGTGTTTCCCAATGTCATTTCAACAACCCCATTTGATACACATGACAATGAATAGGGTGCAGTTTTCAGCATGACACAACCTCTACCAAAGAAAAAACATCTCATAAGAAGGACATGATAGAGATTGGTTAGCCCCTTGTGCAGCTTAGGACCCTTATGGGTTTTGCAACATTGGGATATCATCAGGGCAAAGGAGTGCTCTGGCCAAGCCTCCTCTTACCCCAATATACCCCAGAACATACCCTGTGCCAAAGGCTTCTGGGGGGAGGGGAGGGGCAGAGCAAATGCAGCTCGATTCCTGGCATAGAATCCCCCTTGAGCCAATGCTATTCATTAGTGGTCTTTATGCCTGCCCTAGAGTCCATTTGTGTCAGGAATTACAGTGCAAGGGGGCTGTAGGTCAATGATGAGTCTTGCCATCTGTGACTAAACAGACAGCCAAAACTTCCATTGGCCAGCAGTCAGTTTTCTGCTGCATGGGGACTTTATAATCTAAACATTGTCTACATTCTAACAGTTTTTAGATGAGTCAAAATCTGGGTCTGTGTGTCCCATCTAAAGATTTGGGATCTAATTCTCCTTTCCCTTCCACCAGTTTTACATCAGAGTAACACCATTGGCTTCCAAGGGTGATTTCTAATTTACAAATAATGGAAATGAAAGGAAAATAATCTAATCTTAATCCTGCTTGCAGTTTGACAAGTCAGTGTGACTAAGGAGAATTACTTTTATTTAGATTTTTAAAATATGCCTGTTTGTTTTAGGTGCGTATACAGTAAAAACAATTACAAATCTTATAAAAATAGCCCAAATGTTGCTTACCCAAATTAACCCTTCATAACTGTCAATAACCATTCCTTTATACCCACATACGAACTCCAAACTCACATCTTTCTCAAAAGAATGGGAAAACAGACAGGCCTCACAGCATACCCTGATGGTCAACAGACTTGGGAGTTATGATCACTTATTGCATTCCAAACAATTTCAGCCAACACAGAACTTCAGTTTTTGCATGAACTAAATCTTACTGCTATACACGGATGGTCAAGCTTGATTCACCATGACACTTCTACTGAGTTAAATACTCTTTACTTTTAAAAGCAGCACAATAAGACTTTAGCAGGTTTTGAAGAAGGGTTAATTTTGAAGCAGTAGCAGGAACTTTACTTGGATGCAAGGTTTTCTAGAATCACTATCAGGCTATGGTACTTTGGCTCCTAATTTTGTCAGGTCAAATCTGGCCACACAATTCGGTTTGTAAAAGTAAGTTTTTACCAAGTTTAAGACCAACACAAATATTTCCAATAATTCTGTTGTTATTATTTCAAAAGAAAAACAAACAAAAATATTCCCAATCTATATTTACAATACAAAAGTGCAGTCTTGTGCTTAGAGAGGAGAAACTTAAAGCGAAACTGACTAGAAACCAAAGTGACGCAGACTAGTCTATTCTCATTGTCCAATCCTTAAGAAATGGAAAGAGTACACAAACAAGCCAATAAATGGCAGAAAATAATTTACACTTGCAATACGCTTTCAGTTTTAAGAATCACATGCATTATTAGTAACATAGGCAAGGAAATTACTATTTGAACATATGGGATCAGGTCCTATGTGGCAGCCAAACTGTGAAGAGTGTTGGTCAGTGGTGTGCAAAGATGACTGAAAGCTCACCTTTGCACTCCTATGATCTTGGGAGCTGCTGTGTGCAGGCCATTCCCCCTGTGCTATGTTGAAATAGCACGTGAGTTGCAATGGCCACAAGGAACTGAAAATACAGCCAATGAGTAGCATAATGCAGGAGCAACTTGGTCATGCTCCATTTTCCCCAGCCATGCCTTTTCCCCTTGCTATCCCAGCCAGAGGTGGCTGGAATGGCACAAGAACCCCTAAATCAGCTCCATCCCTCTGGTAGATCAGCCTTATATTAGGATGGTCCTTCTGGAGCCAGTTAAGATGGCTCCACTGTTAGATTACCTCAGTGGTTTGGTGCAAAAAAGCCACACCACAATGGAGTTTGGCCCATAATTTTTAATAGGACAATAATGTTTTAAGTGCCTCTTTTACAGCATCTCTCTCTCTCCAGCATACCAATTCATTGGCTCAGTATTAATGGTAGCTCTTGAGCAGCATGTGAAAAAGAACCATGAGGCTTATTATCCACACTTATCCTATTATCTGTAACTTGTATTCAAATAGCTGAGACCCTGAATATCTTCTAAGCTGTGGGATCCACCATCTGCTGTCCAAATTTCTAACATCTAAACTGTTTGTGTTAGAATCAAAACAACATATGATCACAGAAAACATTCTTTTTTATTAATCCCATGGGGGCTACGTTAGCTCGGCTCTGACAAACCATGCCAATAATGCTACACGAACAGAGTCTTCATAGTTTAAAGGTGGTAATTTGAGGGTTTTAAAATAAAAGTGTAATTATGGAATTGCTTCAC